TTTGAATCTAACAACATTAAAATTAAACTAACAATTTCTTTTTACAAAAAAAACATATGAAATAAACTGAAAAGTAATTAATTAAATTTCAATTAAAAATTAAATNCCAACAGTTTCTTTTACAAATTAAACTAACAATTTCAATTTGAATCTAACAACATTAAAATTAAACTAACAATTTTCTTTTTGAATCTAACAACATTAAAATTAAACTAACAATTTCTTTTTACAAAAAAAACATATGAAATAAACTGAAAAGTAATTAATTAAATTTCAATTAAAAATTAAATCAATAAAACACATGAACAAAACAAGAATCAAACATTTATCGATTTTAGATCCGGGAATATCAAAACAAAAATACGGACAAAATAAAACTCAAACCCACTAACCGGCTCGAAGCGACGACGAACTCGAACGGAAACAAATCTGCCCGAAAATAATTATCGCCCCAAATTAATTCGACGACGAAGACAAAGAAGGAGCAACAAGGCAGCCATGGCCGCTCGAAGCTGGAGAAGAAGAAGCATCGAGCAGCAGCAACAAAGCAGCCATGAGTGCGCGAAGCTGGAGAAGAAGAAGCATCGAGCAACAGCAGTGACGGGGCAGCAGTAGCGACGAGCCTAGCAGGAGCGGAGCAACAGCCATGGTGCGACGAGATCTCGAGCTTGAAGACGCAGTCATGGAAGTGAGGATCTCGTCCATGGCTGGACGTAGCAGGAGCAGTAGCGACAATGACGAAGAAGAAGAAACATCAACGCAGCCGTGAAGGAGGAGAAGCAGCAGCGTGCGACGGGGTGGAGAAGAAGACGCAACAACAACCATGAGTGTCGAGCTCAAGCTCGAGCTTGACGAAGAAGATGAAACAGTGGCAGCGGGGTCTTGTTTGGACGAAGAACGAAGGAGGAGTAGCAGGGTCTGTTTGGACGAAGAACGAAGGAGGAAACAACAGCCATGAACATTGGTTGTTCATGGTGGAGCTGGTTTTGCATTGTGTATGTGTGTGTATGTGTTGATATGTGTGTGTGTGAGTGTGACGGGGTGAAGGGCTGCCATGGGAGGACGAAGAAGAAGAGGAAACAAGCAGCCATGGGAGGAGGGTTTGGAGAAGAAGGAGAGGAAGAAGAAGAGAGGGGGGGGAGCTTAGGGTTTTTCTTGTTTTTTTTTTGTTTTGTTTTATTAAAAATGAAAGAAAAGGGGGTTTGGGTCTTTTGGGGTTATGGACTGGGTCGACCCAGTTCGAAATGGACTGGGTCGTTTGGGAAGATTGGGTCTCTTTGGGCCTATGACTTAAAATTGAAGAAAAGGCCCAATCCGATCTCTTCTATTTTTATCCTTTTCTATTTATTCAATTTCCTAAATAATAATAAAGCTAGAATGCTAAGATTAAATTATAAAACCCAAAAATTATCTGGAAATACTAATTAACTCTTAATAACAGTTAACACACAATTAAATAGCGACTAACGAGAAAATCACACAATTTGGACATTAAGTGCTAAAAATGCAACGTACATTATTTTTATGATTTTTTCATTTTGTAAACAAACTTAATTAAATATTAAACACAAATGCGACATATTTTTATATTTTTTATTAATCTAACAAATAAACATGCATAGACAAAAATGCAAATAATTACACAGAAATGCCTCGAAGAACACAAAAATTGCACACAAAGGAAAATTGTTTTGTTTTGAAATTTTGGGAGTAATTCTCATATAGGGCAAAAATCACGTGCTCACAGTACTTTCCTCCAAAGATCATCCGGTCTAGTTTCAATGATAGGTTGCTTAGTAGCAGCCTCCTTGATCAATCCTCCCAAGTGTTCAAGTGTATAGATCCTTCCCGTTCTGGTCATTCCTTGTGCAGCATCAGATTCTTCCATTTTTGCTTTTTCCTTTCACCTATATTCGGCAACGTAATCCCAAGGTATGACCTTGGAATTAAAAGGAGGTGTGGTTGATATTGTCACTGTAAAAGGTGTGGCAATTTCTACCTCAAATAGAGCAGGTGTGGCTGTAGGCGGAGCTACCTCAACCTCAAATGGAACCGATGCAGTTACCTCAACCTCGACTGACGACTGCACCACCATAGGAGTGAGTGTGACTGCAAGTTTAAAGTCACCCCCTTCCCGAATAAGTCTAATTTACCCATTAGGATCCCATTCTTCATCCATCTCTATCACATGTACCCTATCACCCCTATGATCTGGGAGAGTTGTGAACGTTAGGTGTAGCTTTCTTTGCCTGTATGATCTTTCTATCAATCAATGTCTGGATCTTATCTTTCTATGTTCGACACTCGTCAATGCTGTGCCTCTTCATACCAGAATAATATGCACAAGTTTTGTTTGGGTTGACCCATTAAGATGAATTCTCTACTGCCACAACAGGAATATGAGTGACATAACCAGCGGCCTTCAACCTTTCGTACAGCTGGTCGATGGGCTTAGCAATAGCGGTATATTGTCTGGGTGGTTTGTGATCAAAGTTAGGCCAGGGTTTCTAGTAATTTGGATGAGTTGGAGGTGAATGATAGTAGGCTGGCTGGGTGTTATAAGTATGATAGGCGATGACAGGTTGAAAATATCTAGGAGATAGGGGTTGTGTGGGTGGAGGTGTTTGGTATGTGGGTGGAAGTGTTTGGTATGTGAGCGAAGATTTTGGGCCTTGAGCCACCATTACTGACCCCACTTCTCTTTTCTTTGATATGCCGCCTGATTTAAATGCTTTGTTCGTAGCCTGTAGTGCCTCGAAATTTGTCACCATCCCGTTTTTGACACCTTCCTCAATCCTTTCTCCGAGTTTGATGATATTAGAGAACTTGTGATTCTCAATGACCATTAGCCTTTCATAGTACTGTGGGTCCTGCGCCCTGACAAAGAACTTATTTATTTGTTCTTCTTCTAGTTCTTGTCTGACCTTGGCTGCTTCTGACCTCTACAGAGTAGCAAACTCGCGGAAGGTCTCAGTTGGCCTTTTCTTTAATTTCTAGATATAGAAGACATTCGGTGCATCTTCGTATTGAACCTGAACCGGTCCATAAACTTTGATGCCATGCTCACCTAATTGGCCTGCTTCTTAGGGTTCTGGCTTATGTACCAGGACAGGGCATCTCCGGTAAGACTTCTCATGAAGAGCTTTATTCCGATCCTTTCATCTTTTCCGACCCCCACAAACTTGTCACAATAAGTTCTCAAATGAACCTTGGGATCACCTGTTCCATCAAACATTTCGAACTTGGGAGATTTGTAACCCTCTGATAGTTCCACGTCCGATTGTATGCACAGATCCTCATAATTCAGACCTTCTACCCCTTTGCTTTCTTCGACACCTTGAACTTGACTTGTCAATTTCTTGAGTTCCTCGGCCATGTTCTTGATGACCAGGTCCTTCTCAGTAGATTCTGGTGTATAGGAGATTGATTGAGTAGAGTGAGGTACGATTTCCACATATATAAGGATGTTTTGGTGAGTGTAGGGACTTGGGTGTCTTGGTGTATTTTGGGGAGGTGCTAGGTTTTTGGTATTTTGTTGGTTGATGTCAGGGACGTTTAGGGTGAGGGAGAGGTTTTCTAAGTTGAGGACTTGCTCAAGTTCTCTCTGTAACTCCAGTATCTTTTGTTCCAATCGCAAAAACAAGTCATTTAGAGTAATTCGATCGTCTGAAGTTTCCGCATTCTCAGCATTTTCCTTTCGAATACCACTTAAGTCATCCATCTTAGCTTTCCCTATGCTTCTCGTATTACTTGGAGGAGGAGGAGGTGGAGGGCCTTTAGATCTGATGTGATATGCTGATGATGTCAGTATGTGCGAACCAACCCTAGGGGATAGGAATAATAATAAAATAAATAACAAAAGGTAAACAAGTTAGTAAGGATTCTGAAATATTTGCGGTATTTAAACACATATTACGGGAATATAAATTTACGTCCTAATTTGGGAGCCCCGTTGTGCCCGAGGTAGGCCTAGCGACAATTAGATTTGGAGAAATTCAGTGCCAATAATTGCCTCATTTCATTAATGTAAAGATAGACGACCCAAAATAAGATAAGTCACTAATGACACTTGCCTTTATTACATTTGAAAAACAAGTAAACCTAATCTACTTGGTCCCAGAAGGACCCTCTCCAGGCTGGATGCTCTTGTCGATCAGTTCCCCCAGTTCGCTTAGGTTCAGCAGTAAGAATGCCCTTGTCAAATGTCCTCTTTTGTTTCCCCCTCAGCATTCTGACAATCGGTGACTCTCTTCCTCATTCTTCCTTCTAATTCCATCAGACTGTACTCCAGATATTCCAGCCTTTTGCTGGATTTAATAGCCCTCTCTTTCCACTCATTGATCATTTCCATATTGGCCTTATGTTCCTCCATATGCTCGGCTTCAGACTCGCAAATTCTTTTGCACAATTTGTTATATTTCACCTGTGCTTCGGTAACTTCATCTATGGCCCTGTTTCCTGGACCAACCCTTGGCTCGAATATTCCTGGTATGTCATCCTCTAACCATGACGGGTAAAAGTACACATGACCATCTTGATATCGATCCGACTTGATGGTATCCTTTTCTATGATAATTTTCAAATGCCATATGTGCTGAGCTTCACATTTGTATGGGATGTCATCATCCTAAAAATCTGCCCTGTAGTGACTCATTTTGGTAACTCGCGGTATGACCTGCCTCCTGCCTGCCTGTCTCATAACCATGAGGGAAGCATAAGGGTATATGCCCCTTAACCCAATCAATACCAAGTGTGGAACATCCTTGGATTTAATGATGAACTCGTTGGTAGGGAGCCACTCGAACATCCATTGAACCTAATCCTCGGTCAAATTGTTGAAAAACTACACCAATCCTACAATATTCTCCGGTTGAGCAAACCTGTCTGGGATATAGGTCATTCTCTTGGGATGATGGAATGCTATATGATCATTCCATAGCCTTCGCGGAAATTCCTGACGGTATTGACCCTTTTGGAGATGTTCTAGCAGCCACACTTGCAGCAACAAATTGCAACCCTCAAAGTATTTGAACCCCTTCTGTCAGCGCTCCAAGGCCCGATATATATTTGCAATGATCATAGGGACAATGGTATATGTATGCCCCTTAATCCTATCTATCAAAGTTTTGGCCACCATGGCCAGCCTGATGTGGATTTTGTCCCCTTGGATCGGTAACACTAGCATACCCAAGAAACATACGATGAACACAAAGACCCTGCGGTGAATCCAACCCAAGGAGGTGATGGAGAATTCATCATCGAAAATACGGTAAGACCTGCTATGACCGTATCATTCATAGATGAAGTCGAAAGGTATGTAGGAGTTTTTCAGGTACTCCAAGTCATCATTCTTCTTTAACCCCATCATCTTAAGAAATCCCCTAGCGGTGCGATTTTCAGGTACCAATAGACCAGGGCTATCCTAGGGCAACCCAACGAATCTCCCTATTTCTTCCAAGAGAGAGGTCATTTCTATGTTTCCAAAGCGGAACACAGCCCTTTCTTTGTCCCCAGAACATGGTGGCAGCCTCGATCAACATTTTGTTTGGTTATAGGTCCAATAAAGAAGGCAGATTTCATAAGACCCTTTTCACATGATTTTGGTCACTTGAAAGAAGATCCCTCCACCAATCTAGCAAAAGTGATGGTATGTTACCGACCATGCCGAATCTGGGGACTTCGTGCCTCATTTTCTGCAAAACAAACTATAGTTAGGCCCTTTTCCCCTCCAGGTTCGTCTACTTATACAACAATGATTAACACATTGGCACTTATTTCTCCAAATTAATGCACAAAATCATGGTTGCGTCTGTTGGGATTATGAAAAACCCGATAGACTTTTGGGTGAGGCTTGTCTGAAAGGGTTGTTATATGGACAACATATTAACCCGACTAGGTTTGACCATGATGCATGTACAATTAATCAGAGTAAGGTTGCTATAGAGGTCTAGACTGGGATCCTCAAGCGGACAACTTGAGGGG